ATCATTTCGGGGTTAAACTGGATAATGGTACATCTCTCACAAATGGAACAGAATGTTTACACAAATAACAGCTGACAGAACTTAAGTTATTTATCACAATCTTTTTCTGATTATTTACATTAAAAATGTTAATTGAGAGGGATTGATTTTCATGTAATTCAATTTTGAATACACTGCAATATTGATCATTGGGATGTTTAACAACTTTAATGCATCAATAGGATTGGTGAAAGAAGTTTCTATACAAGGAACAACTAAAGCAAGTAATTTTAAATCTAATGCAATTTAAGAAGGTTGCAAATTTATCAAGATTTATGGCACTAGAAAAATGAAAACTTAGAGCTTATCTTACCCTCCTGTTGCTCCTGCTGTTGCCATTATCCCTCAAACTATTGTCTCATTGTCACTTAACAGTGGACATCATGCCTCTGCATAAAAACAAAATCGGACAAATTATCAACAAGAGTTCCATGTCTTACAGATAGCTGACTCAAAATGAATCATCATCACCATTAAGAAAAAAATCTTGATTTTATGACAAATCAGCATGTGAAAAAAAAGAAATTTACCCTGCTTATAGGGCAATTAGGCATCAGCATTCAATCCTTAACTCATAAAATTTTTTAGGACCAATTAAAATTTATTCTCATTCTGGTGTTAATCAACTTCTCATTCTAAAATTTTTAATTTGAGAAATAAACAAAAGAAATGGTTTTCTGCTAATCACAGTTGCAGACTTTTTAATTTTATACTTCTGCTATTGAGAGGCAGCTTTTAGCCTTTCTGTAGTTCAGTAATCATCTCATGTTGTCCTTCAACCGCATTTCCAGATGGTACAATAGTTTCCAGCGAGGCCTTAAACTACTTTAAACATTAAAAACAATTCTCTGAGCCTTTGGGGATGATGCTGTAGATCAGTGAATTCTCGGAGGCTTCTTTTTAATTCATTTTTATTTTAATTACAGCAGCTGCAGGCCTCAATGAAATTTTTACATAATTTCTGTGGTTTATTTCAATGAATTGATATAATAAAATTCTTTCAATTTGCAAGTTGAATATTGGGTGGATGTATTGATTATACTGTCTGAAAAAAGGGTTCAAAAGATTATGGGCATAAGATCTTCATGATTTTTAAACATGAAAAGTGTAATTATGTGAAGGGTAACAAAATGGAGTAATTTAAAGATAGCAGGTTCCTTGAAGAGCTGCTAAGAGTGTTGCTCCGGTTTTGAGAAAGTTATGGTATATATGTTTATATACTTAATTCTGACTACACTAACATGAGACATTCAATGTGAAAAGTTTGTTTAGGATGAGGAAGTCAGTCTTCCACTATACGCATCCTGATACAATCTTAATATGTGCACCCTGAGATTAGGGGTTCTACAAAAAGAACCTGTGTCATGTCAGTTGTGAAAAACCACCAAAAAACTACTCTTTAGATGCAGTCAAAAAATGTGTGGAAATACATTCCTCCAGATTTAGAAATTATACCCTGATCAGTCAAAAGGAAAGAAATTCCTAAAATTCAAGATTTTCTTTAACATTGGAGAATTCCTTTAAATTATCTAAATACATAGAAAAAGATGAACTGGTAAGTTCCAACACTGACCCCTGAGGTAAACCAATATATGTTACAGTTTGGTAATCTGAAGTGGTACCAATTATTCCATGGACATAAATGGTTCTCTGTTGTTTAGATTTGTTTAGATAGGATACACACCAAGAAATCATTTGCAACACTCATAATACCATAATACTCCAGCTTTATACTAGCAAGACTGAAGGATCAACAGAATCAAAAACTTTACAAAGATCTTTGAAGACAACTAAAGAACAGTACTTTCCATTGTCAATAGAAGTAATATTTTCATTGAAGAAGTGAAGTGCATGAGTAGTAAAAAGATTGCATACAAATATTTGCTGTTCATGCATAAGATACATAACTTCTTCATGTAATTTATAATTCTTGGATAAATTAATTTCCTCATTATCTCATTAAATATGAAAAGCAATGTGTTTGGTTAAAAAATGGCTCTGAGACTTTTCTCTTGCTTTTTTGCCCCTATTTCACCCATTAACTCCCAAGATCTGATTGTAAACTCTCCCCTCTAACTGCTGCACATTTCCTTGTAAATTTGTCTGAAGAATTTGGTGTTAGATCGATAAAACAACTTTTATGAGAATAAGTTTGAATATTCTCATTAAAGTAACTGTTTTCTGGAAGATGTTTTGTATATTGTAAGGAGAATTTGTGTGCTTAACTCTTTGGGGAGTTAAGGGCTAAGGAATGATTTTTAGACTTTTAGTTATAAACTTATAACGAGTTAAGTTAACACTTCTTCATGTTAGAATTACTGCATTGAGAACTTGCGTTGTGAATGATAGTTTTCAAGCTTTAGATAATCTTGATTTACAATGTTGCTCTTGCAATGTATGTCTCTCATCATTTACTTCTCTAAGGAAAATGGTAACTCAGATTAATGCAGTAAGTCCACACTGCAATGGTCGATTCAAACGACTAGCTAGGGAAGTTTAATTCACGTACTCCATGGAGCTATAGTTAAAAGCTTATTAGCAGTACTGTTAGATTTGAGTAACGACCGGATGACATGTCACTGCACAGTTTTGGGGTATTTACTAAAACCAGAAACAGCGAAATGAAACGACCGAAACGTAATAAAATGAACGCCCATTTCATCTCGTTTTGATTATGGTCTACTCCTGATCTACCTCACGGGAAAATTTAGTTGTCTCTCAATTGCCATTGGCTTGGGTTGGCCTCTGCAACAGGGCTACACAAGATAAATTTGTGAGGCGGCCTTAATATTTAAAGGCCTTAAATGTAGACAATATCTGAAGTGAAATCTACATTTTCGTCGGCATTTCATCGTCCGCTCTTCTCGATTGTTCTCTTCTCGTTTAATTTTGTTAATTACAGTCGTTTCGTTTCGATCGTTTCGATCGTTTCGATCGTTTCGATCGTTTCGATCGTTTCGTCTTGGCTGTTACAGTGGAGGAGGCCCTCTCTTCTCGCCAAATTGCGTTTAACGTCTTAATATTCTTGGGAATCTTACTTTGCTAGTCACAGCAAATACTAACGAACTTACCATTTCTCTACACGATTCTGCAATTTGTTTGTTCTGCTACGCGACTTGCAATTTCCAAACCCTGCTTCGCTTGCAACTATCGAAATCGAACGTACGCTACTTCCGGGATGGCTTTTGGTTTCAGCCTCGCTTACAAACGATAAATCGTTAGGTTTGCTGTGTATGCTGGGTAAACGCACGGTGGGTTGAGGACTTTCAAACAGTGATAGGTTTGGTGCCTTTTTTTCCACATGAAGTGTGTGGAATTAAGAATTCAATCAAAATTCTTCAATTTAGCTCTCTCAGTAGCTGTCCATGTATTTAGAGTTCGAGTTTGAAAATATCAATGATCAGAGTTCGAATTGCCTCAGGTAGAATTTCGTCATCACTTGGGGAAAAAAGAGATTATGAACTGTTTCTTAAATAATCTTTTGCTTGAGAATGTCCTCGTTATTGTTTACATACGCTCATTAAACTCTCATTAAGAGCCCCTCCTGCTTCCTCCGACACCCTCTCAACCATAACTCTAGAGAGAGTTAACAGATATGTAAAAATAAAGCCAAAAATTGAAAAAAGAAATTTCGTTTGAAAATCTACTCGAATATATTTCCAGCTATCGCCCCCTAAACTCTTCTCGGGGTAAATGCCTTGATCGAATAACTAAATTGGTTTATTACCAGTCTTGAGAGGTCTAATTTTCTGGCCCTAGGACTCGGTTCAGGGCTCCAATCCAGACCTCCTAACTGAGGGTCAGCTCGTGAGGTTCTTTGACTTCTTTGGATGTTAATTTTTAGGCCGTATCGTGTTCCACCAAAGTCGATGGCGCTGATTGAGTCGAAATCTCATTTCCAGTACATCCAATACAAGGTAAAATATTTGACACTAAGATTTATTTGTGCCTTTGAAATATCTAGAATTAGTTATGCCTAAAAGTGGCGTTCCACTTTATTTGAAATCCCTCCAGGTTACTTACCTGAAGGGATTTCAAATAAAGTGGAACAATTTAGTAAACCGGGAGTTTTTTAAAAATTTATTTAATAAACAATTTTCACAACCGGGAAGGTTAGCGTTCGAAAATCATTTAATGTTAAGAAGGGTTTTATCAGTGGTTCCAGAAATGGTGAGCGTTCGTGTTTTACTTAATGGGAAAGAAGGGGTTGTTATCTTTTCATTGAAAGAACTCCACTAATGGCAATAACCGCAACACATCAAAACCTTTCACCTCACATTGTATTCTTATACAAGTAAAATCACTTTCATATACTTTCCAACAAGCATTTGATGATAAAAATCTTCGGTGTAAATTTTATTTTGGTCTCCAATTTGGTCAAGACTCAGAATATGTTCTCAATTGGTTGAGAGCGAACAAACTTACTCTAAATATGACTAAAACCGAGTTTATGCTCATTAGTTCAAGGCAGAGAGTAAGTACTCTTGCAGTTTCTCCGACAATCACAATTTGTGACAATCAAGTTAGCCAGGTCACCACCGCAAAATTACTTGGAGTGACCATCGAAAACAAACTCGATTGGAGCAGTCACATCGCTAAACTAACAAAGAAGGTCGCTTCTGGCATTGGGCCTATAAAACGAATAAGGCACCTTGTCCCTCAAGCGACTTTGGTTCTAATATATCAAGCTTTGATTCAGCCACATTTTGACTATTGTAATATTGTTTGGGGAAACTGTGGGATAACTTTGCAGAACAAGGTACAGAAGCTACAAAACAGAGCAGCCCATGTTTTGACTTATTCAAATTATGACGCCGCTGCTGGTCACTTGTTTGAGCTCCTGAGATGGAAAAAAACCTAGCTTCCCAGCAGCAAATACAAAGAGCCACAATGGTCTATAAGTCTTTGCGCTGTTTAGCTCCAGACTATTTGTCTTAAACTTGAAAGACGAGAAACTGCGCATAACCTAAGAGACTCTGAGAATAAGCTTAATGTTCCTTTGCCGCGCATAAACTATTACAAAAATAGCTTTAGCTATAGTGGCTCCATTCTTTGGAACAGACTCAGACTTCCTCGTGACATAAGACAAGCAGAGTCCCTTGGGTTATTTAAGCATTTAATTAAAGAAGTACGTTCAGGCACGGCATTCGTGGAAGGCAGCTTTAGTTGGGTTTGTGCTTTAAGTATAGTTTTTATGGTATCTTATCCATTTAATGCATGTTTATATGTTTGAATGTTTTTATAGCTGATGAATTGTCCGTGGGTAAATAAAGATATCTATCTATCGAATATCTCTCCTCACCAGCTTCTCCTAGACGCTAAATCACAACTGTAACATCATTAAATATTTCCTCATTTAATTTTCTTTTTATAACTAACATTTGTCGCTATGCATTATAATAATGACCTCATTCCTCTCATAACTAGACCACCAATATTCACTTCGGAAACCCATTTTCCTTCTGATTCATTACCAAATCTTCTCAAGACCTAACTCATCCTCAAGAGTATCACTGAGAGATCGGTTTACAAACGTTTTGTCTTTGTGCCATTCCTTCCTCTACGTACTGTGAAGAGTAGGAACAGTTACCGAACGTGGAGATAACTTGCCTGCTTCGTTCAGTTAAACACTAGATTCTTTCCTTGCAGCTTCTGTCGAAGTGCGACTTAATGCTGAAAATTTTATATGGTTGGATGGTTCATCGGCCCCTGATTTTCGTCGGCAAACTCCAAACTTACAATAAGCCAGAGCTAAAATAACAATAATCAAAGCAAGAACGGCGGCGCTGCTGATCAAAGCTATTTCTGTCTTAGACAAGCCTGTAACACAACAAAACTTTGGTTAAGCACGAGGATGACACGATGCCCAAGAAACCATTGACTAGATTGACTTTATTCGGGTCACGGTTGTAAAGAGTGTGTGTAGTAGGATACTTTTATCTATTCTGTCTGGAAAGTCCGGGAATTTGCAGCAGGCGTAAACTGGGAGATATTTCCAGGATAATTCCTGACTGAAATTCACTTCTCGAATAATAGGCGTCAAAAAGTGTTCTCGTCAGTAACATTTTACCGAAACAAACATAATTATTAGACATGGTTTGATGCTACTCTGATTTAAAGATTTAATGATTGTAATCGAGAAGTTACAATTCAGGGACCCAACGTTTCGACACTTCTGTCTAGTGCCTTCATTACGGGCTTCCACCCCTGACGAAGAGTTTCCACCCCTGATGAAGGCACTAGACAGGAGTGTCGAAACGTTAGGTCTATGAATTGTAACTTCTCGGTTACAATCATTAAATCTTTTAACCAGAGTAGCATCAAACCATGTCTGATTGTCCACCTGGTTGCCTGCGAACTTTAATATAGCACATAATTTTGTTGTTTCATAATCGGTCATTGATGTTATGCACAAGGTAATGGCGGGGGTCAGGCAATTTTGTTAGAGGCAGTGCCAATAATAACACGGGTCAAACGATGTGTCTCTGTTACGCTGGAGAAACAATAAAAAATAAAGCTGACATGTTCACCTTCATGGCGAGCAACAGGAGCAACAGTACCCGGCATGGCTTCTGTACTTGTGGTCACGTCTGCTAACATGTGTAGGGGATAAAAATATCAATTAAAAGCATGTTACCTTAATCCCTAAACATCAAGGAAAAAAAAAGTAAACTTTAACTTCACTCGCAAAATAATATTAGTTTCTCCAATTAAAAATCCCTCCAGACATTATGGTCCAAACACTTAAGGAGAAAGCTTTTTATTTCCTCAAAACAATTGAGTAAAAATTTAATTAAAAAAGGGTTTGCGGATGGAGAAATCATTTCCACAAGAAGGAAAAGAATCGCTATTTTTGAGGAGAGGACTCCTTTTGAGATAATATAAGGTAACAAAGAATTTATGCGACGATATTCGAATAGAATTACAATGAGCGGCAAGATTCTCAGCACGCTCTACTACTTAATGATTTTTTCTATAACTTTCATTTTTCTCACCCTCTCTCCTATTTCATGCCTGATCTCAACAAAATTCTCACTAATTTTAGGCAACATTGTTTGGGAGGAAGGGGGAAGAGGACTTTCATGTAACTTATTGTAGAAAAATTAAAATAATTTCGTTTAATATGTTGAGAGCAGGGTGGTCAACCAACCAGTTAGAGGAGGCGTGCCGATTACTTTTGCCACTCATCGTAAAAATAATGATCAGTTTGCAAGGAAAGAAAAACATTGAAGATGTGAGAATAAACCAAAAAGAAACAAGGATAGTTCGGATAGCCAAGATTAAAACGGATTTAAAATGACACTCTTGGAAAAAATTTCGAGCAAATTTTGAAATAAAAAAAACTCACGTAGCTCCTTCTAATTCAAATGACGAGAGAAAGAGATGGGGAACAGGCACCCTATCTGTTCAAAAATACGCTAAGAAAATCAGTGAATGCGTTTGCTGTTTGTAAAGCGATTTGAGACTTGTCATCGAAAGATGGATCACTCTAGCAGTCACCAAAAATAACTCTTTGTAATTTTTCCATTGATGACTCAAGTCGTAAAACTCTTAGGCCAACGTTTTGGGAATAATGTGTACGGTATATGGGCATCTACTCACTTATCCTCGTGGTGAAAGGTCTTGATACATGAGGATACTTTTCCAACGGATCACTAGCTGTTCCGTAAAGAACAAGGGTCCAATTAAACAAATAACCTGAAAAATGTAAAAAAAGGAAAAAGCAATAGAGTAATCTTAAATAGATTAGCAGCTTATCCAAGACGTGTAGTTCACGTAGCAAAAACTGTCATAACCTTCCGCTTCTGTGCAGCGTTCACAGAGAGAGGGGGGGGGTAGGGGGGTAGGGGGGTCGTAATACCAAGGTTCGGTATTTAGCTCCATTCACCACAACATCGCGATGTTGAAGTGGCTGTCAAAAATTTGTTGTGATGTTTCCTGCAATTGTGCTAAGGAATCAGTAAAGCCCTCTTACCTGAAAATCCGTGGGCTGGAAAATGGTTCCTAAATCTTAGATTCCAAGCCCCTTCAGGATTTTCTCCCCAAAACTGCAGACTGAGCATCGGCCAGTTATTGAAATCTGTCGCGATTACGTCATTTGCACGATAGGGAAGGATCTGAGATGTGGTCCCTCGAGGCGAGGTCAAATTCCCTTCAAGATAACCACGCCTGTCAAACCTGGCCTGGATAATAACGACCACGTGTTCCAAGTACTGGATGGTGTTCTCGCCACCACAGCTATATTTGGACACGTTCAGAGTCACTTCCGTGTCGCCATACTGCCCCAAAAATCTGCAAAATAGAAGCATCAGTTACTGTGACAAGTTTCACACCTTAATTCATAATAGCCTTTGATTTTATAACCGGGATATGGCTATGAAGCCCGACAGATTTCTTTGCTTCATGTGCTTTAGCTTTTTTTAACTTGATTGTGCACAATCTTCGAAAAGACAAGTGGAACTTTCATTTGAGCTTTTCAACCGAAAAAAAAGTACAAAAATCAAAAGATTGCTCGATTAGGGAGGTCCTAAAATAATCTACAGCACCCTTCACCTTGTCCGCTAGCAAAGCCAGTCTTTTTCAGTATGCTCAACCTAATAAAGGTAGAGGTGCAATCATGGCAAAATTCTCGGTAAAATTCATTATTACCTGTTCAGTCTGGGCCGAGGAATCTCGCATTTGATCTGTTCTGGCACTGTATGCCAAGCCCTGGAATAGTTTACCAAAGCCGCTGCATCCATGAGTCCAAATCCAAAGTAACTACTAACTGTAAACGATAATGAGCATATGATTTATCCTAACTCTTCTGGGCGAACGTTAAATACTATATAATTGGTTAAACAAAGAGTTTTCTGTAGCTCAGTTGGAGAAGCATCCGACTGCAAAATTGTAAATTAAGGGTATGAGATTCTTAGTTTCACAAGGGACTCGGGGGTGAAAACGATCATAAATCTGATTCTCCTCACGGTACGTTTTTTTCAACTTCAGTCTTTTTGGTAAAATGATGATCTCACCCCAGAGCCCAGCAGCATTTTGCATCCAGTCATCAGAACGAGGCAAATCATGGTTGGACGAATAAGCAATCAGGTGCTGCATATCACGCCACGTGACCTCCGGACTGCAAACAAAGAGGATATGACTTTAGCGACATGGAAAAAAGGGAGATTCGATGTTTCAATCACCTTCTAATACACTTGTGTTCTACTGCCCCCCCGCCACTTATTCCCTATTGATTTAAAACGAATGAACCACTATCATACGATTGTGAATAATTTTGAACTTCGAGGTGCCCTTAATGTGACAAAGTAGTGTTATCTTATCGCACCACATTGAAAACAAGTTATTGTGTTTACTCGATAAACGAATGTGCCACTTACGGAAAGTGACGTCACATTGAAGTTCCCATATTGGAGCAAGATGGTCGTTGGTTCGATAACTTATGGTAATACCATTCCCTTTTTTGTTTTTCTCTACCAGACATTACAGCTGGGAATCAAATGCGGAAAAATCGAAATTGCAAAGAAATCGAGCCATTTCTCAGTCTAAAATGGAGGTAAAATAGGCCTCAGGTTGTTACCAGTTGTCACCCGAACGATAAAGGTTTCCGCTTTTTCTCAATTGAATTTATACTTAAGATTGCGAAAAAAAAACAAAAAAAAATTGGAAGACACTACCACATGTGAACTGGAAAAGCCAAGAGCCAAAAGCGAAGATTTTCGTTACAGCCTGAATCTCAAACGATACCCGAAATTGACTTCTTTTGAAGAACATTTTTTGACTACTATCCCTTTTGTTTCGTTAAGAATAACTAGTGTTCTTTCTTTTTTATTTTTTTTTACGCGAAAAAGTCAATATCGAATTGCACTATATCACTCAACCAACACATTCAGCACAATTTTATAAGGAATGGCTATCAATACCAAATTAAGAAGTGCACTCAAACAGATGTTCCATCTCAAAAATGCTCTACCAATACTCCGCCTTTGTAGATCACCGACAGATATTTCAAATCTGTCAAACTGTTCGTCGTGCTGCGTTGTAATTGACCGGACCGGGATTGACAGTTTGATGCCCTTTAAGGTATTTAAGAACTTCGTCAGGGCATTGTTCATCTTTAAATAAAGGATGCTAAACGTCACTATTTTGTCGTTTTGCGACTCTCGTTTGACACCCTTGTTCTCTGCTGGTTTCTGTCTCTTTGGTTCCCGTCAAACAAATCATTACTTAAATAATGGTTTGACGCGATATTTGTATTTACGACTCGAAGCGAAAAAGGTCTTCGATTAGTTCTTTTCAGTTCATGTTTCGTCTCTGTGATGCTGAAGAAAAATCATCAACAACGACTCTGAGCTGAGATTAGTCGAGAACACATCGCATGGCCAACATCACAGCCAAGGATGAAGCTAATACAGTCAACACAGAAGTGTTACACTTCATACGCAGTGCTCCGGATGGTTTATCTGTTTTTCTCGCAGTACTTAACATAGTTCTCGCCATCATCGGAACTCTGGGTAATGCCCTTCTACTCATCGCTTTGCGTAAAGTAACGTCTATTTATCCTCCAACAAAACTTTTTTTCCGAAGTTTGGCGATCACTGATCTTTTCGTTGGTCTCATCATACAACCGATATACTCAATAACTCTTATTCCTGGGATAAGCCACAAGAATCTTGTTTACTACAGCATCCAAGTAACTGGTATTTCTGGCTCAATTTTGTGCTCCGTATCTATTTTGATGTCAACAGCAATCAGTGTGGACAGGCTTCTGGCGCTGCTTTTGGGGCTGAGATACAAACAAGTTGTTACTCTAAGGCGCGTGCGAGCGGCGATTACCTGTATTTGGTTACTGAGTTGTGCAATGGGTGGCTGGAGGTACAGCAATTGGGGCGCTGAAGCTGCCAAGTTCACGCTGTTTGTTTTGATGCTTCTGTCCCTAATAATTTCCATCTGCTCGTACACGAAGATCTATCTTTACCTACATAATAAACAGGTTCAGTTACACGCAAAAGAACGTGAGATCCATAAAGAACCATCATCAAACGGAGGAGAAGGTCGACTGAATATGGAAAGATATAAGAAGTCGGTTTCTAGTATAGCATGGGTACAGTTGGCTTTACTTCTGTGTTTTGTTCCCTTTACTGTTGGTAGTATGCTATTCACACACAGAAAACTAACTGGTGTGGCCACTGGAATAGCGCATTTTTGTGTATCAATCCCATATGTGCTGTTTAACCCAGCTCTGAACCCGATTCTTTACTGCTGGAAGATCAGAGAAGTCAAACAAGCCATGAAGGAGACTATCAGAAAAGTTATTTGTTGTATTAAGTCTCACTAGGTTTTTTTTTGTTCCATAAAACCTCACTTTACGCTTTGACTTTGCATGGCGTCTTTGAAATATCTCTGGCACCATAAGGCGATTTTAATCCAAGTTTTAATGGAAAGTTATTTATGACAAAAATAAAATTTAAAATCCGTTTTCAAACGTCACATGAAACGAGGACATAAAAACTAAATTCAAAACCGTTTTCGATGGCAAAGAAAGCGAACGAAAGCCAAATTTTTAAAGCATAAATTCGGATTAAAAATTCGAGTCAAAATAAACAGTTGAGAATAGGTATGTTTTGTTGTGAGAAAAAAAACCAACAACTAATCGGGAGCATAATGTAAATAGTAATTTGTATGTTTTCTTCTTTTAAATCCCTGTCAACTCTTTAAAAAGACTTTTTCGAAAAAAAAGACAAATCATAGAGAGCATAAAGTAAACAACAATTTCCGTCGGTTTTGTACAGTTTAAGTAAATATTTGTTGCAAAGCAATGCGTGTTTCAAAGACGAAATGAATCCCTTAAACCGGCTGATAGAAGCCTGCTAATTTCGTGATGCATGAAGTGTCTTTAAATGTAATCGAAATTAAAAAACTTTGAACTGTTTACCTGTATATGTATTTTAGGCATTTTCATTGAGGGAAAATTAGTTAAAAGTGGTGTTAACCATTGATATGAAAATGTGAAATTTGATTAGTTTTTAGTCTCCTTTGGCGGTGTTGGATTCAAGATGTTGAATTTTAGATTTCGTTTTACAACATCGATAATAAACAGAAAACAATAATGACTCATCATAAAAGAGCTTTCTCGAGATCGCCGGGTGATAATGAGAACTACTAAATATTCAGCGACACAGGAAGTTTGAATCAGCAGCTGTATAACCGTCCCCTATCTTCTTAAAAAAAGTTTGTAAGGCGGGGGGTGCATATAACAGCTCGAGAGAGGATTACATCTCAGTCATACAAATATAAATAAATTGAATAATTTCCACCCGTCTCAATACCGATAAGATAAGCTCCATCAGTTTTCAGATATCTGAGGACATGTTCATTTATGCTATGGGAAATATCTCACATTACAATTAATGTCAATATCGATCGCCTTTTAGAAGAGTGGAGAGTGTTTTTTTTTTATGTAGCTTTGCATGCTTAATTTGCGTTAACAGTATATGCAAAAATTGGACGCGAAAATGTATATAATGAGGAAAAAGGAGAACTTGAATTTGTAACCGGTTGTATCAGATCTACAATAAGATGAAATAAACTTAACATGGATGGTTCTCATAGGGATTTTTTTCGTTTTCACGTCTAATAAATATTTCAAACGAGATGTAAAGATTCAACAAGAGCTCTGGTCACGTTGTGTTTAGGAAGAACGATTTGTACAACTCGTCATCAAAAGCCTTTTCGCATCATTTCCTAGGATGAGCCCATGATTCAAGTAAACAATTGACTCCAGCTACCATCATTTTGAAACGATCCTCTCATATCAATATCATGAGACGATGGTCGTGGACTTGGGAATATGAAATTATATTCGACCCTTAATCACTTAATGGATTATTTCTATTGCCTATGCACGTCTTCAACCAAATTTATCTAAATCATTTTTAAGTTCATCATGACTTTTCTAGAATAAAAAAATTGTAAACAGTACAATGACACCAGCTACCATCATTTTGCAACGATCCTCTCATATCAATATCACGAGTCGATGCTCGTGGACTTGGAAACAGAAGGTTTAATTTGACCCTCGATCACTTCATGGATTCTTTCTAGTGCCTATATAAATCTTTAACCAAATTTATCTACATCAGTTATCTTTAAGCTAGTCGTGACTTCTCTAGAGTAAAAAAAAATTGGAAACAATGACACCAGTTACCGTCATTTTGCAACGATCCTCTTATATCAATATCACGAGTCGATGGTGGTGGACTTGGAAACAGACGATTTAATTTGACCCTCGATCACTTAGCGGATTCTTTCTATTGCCTATGCACGTCTTCAACCAAATTTATCTACATCATTTTTTAGCTAATCGTAACTTTTATAGAATGAAAAAATTATCGAATACTTGTATAAGTAGTTTGTGGTCAGTATGATGCAACGCTTGAAAATTCTGTGGGTATCATATGAGGCCCTTAATTAAGCTGAAAATAAACGACGCGTGAAATCAGGTACGAATTACCGTCAACAAATCCTGACTACGCAATGTGGTAAAATATCAATCCTTATTGCTTTATTTTCAGTGCTTGTCTGCATCTATTTACTTCTCAACAATATTTGAATATCATGATATGACCTGATTCGCCCTCGAGTTCTCTGTGGTCTGTCTGGAAGATCAGACGTTCGATTCCGCCAAATGATAAATTTTAGTTCACTCTCAGTCACGCTGGTGACAAAAATACCAATTGCGCGTGTGTGCAGAAAATGGACAAATATTTAAATTTTTAAATGTCGGCTTTTTTATGGTAAAATTAGGATGCAACACTAAATAATGGTGCAGCGCACGAGAATTCTTCCCGAAAATGTTGCGTATCCTTGACAAGTATCCTCAAGATTTTTTTAAACCAGAAAACATTGCCGGTCAACGATACGCCCATGCGTTTGAGCTTATTCTGAATAACTGAAAAAGACTTGAAAATAAATATACAGGTAGACAGCTGCATCTGCTCTGTAACATGTTATTACCGCGCACTTTATGTTGTCGCGGAGATATTCAGCTTATAACTTTTGGCCTGAAAAATTCATGTCATCGTTCAAACATTCTGTTTCCACATCAAATTTTTACATGAAATTAAACATAATATTCAACATCAATATCAATCTCACGGTTTACATATTTTAATATTTACGTATTTAATTTCTAAAAATTTAAACTTATTTGTATCTACAAATTTTGAATTCCAGTTTATTCTTTAAAGTTTTGTCCCTGGTCAATTTTGTACAGCATTATACCGGAATGGTTTTGAATTTCCTCTAATCTACTTTGTTTCCGGATGGCTTTAGAATATTAAATTCGAAATTCGATTTTCAATGTCAAAACTGGATCCACAGTGTCACCTTATGGTGCTAGATGTGTTTCAAAGACGCCATGCACAGTCAGAATTTAAGTTAAGCTCGGGTGGTATTAGTGATGTTCGACGGAAAAAAGGACCAGCTTGACTTGAAATAGCAGTTTAATTTTCTGACAGTCTCCTTCATGGCTTGTTTGACTTCTCTGATCTTCCAGCAGTAAAGAATCGGGTTCAGAGCTGGGTTAAACAGCACATATGGGATTGATACACAAAAATGCGCTATTCCAGTGGCCACACCAGTTAGTTTTCTGTGTGTGAATAGCATACTCCCAACAGTAAAGGGAATAAAACACAGAAGTAAAGCCAACTGTACCCATGCTATACTAGAAACCAACTTCTTATATCTTTCTATATTCAGTCGACCTTCTCCTCCGTTTGATGTTGGCTCTTGATGGATCTCACGGTGTTTTTTTGCGTGTAACTGAGCTTGTTGATTTTGTAGGTAGAGATAGATCTTCGTGTAAGAGCAGATGGAAATTATTAGGGACAGAAGCATCAAAACAAACAACGTGAATTTGGAAACTTCAGCGCCCCAATTACTGTACCTCCATCCACCCATTGAACAGCTCAGTAACCAAATACAGCCCACCACCGCTCGTGTGCGCTTCAGTGTTACAACCTGTTTGTATCTCAGCCCCAAAAGCAGCGCCAGAAGCCTGTCCACACTGATTGCGGTTGAAGTCAAAATCGAAACGGTGCAAAGAATTGAGCCAGAGATGCCAGTTACTTGGATGCTGTAGTACATAAGATTCTTGTGGCTTATCCCTGGTATAAGAGTAATTGAGTACATTGGTTGCACGATAAGACCAGCGAAGAGATCAGTCACTGCCAAACTTCGGAAAAAAAGTTTTGTTGGAGGATAAATTGACATGACTTTACGCAGTGCAATCAGGAGAAGAAAATTTCCCAGAGTTGCGACGATGGCGAGAACTATGTTTAAAGCTGCGAGAAAAATAGATACGCCACCTGGAGCACTGCTTATGTAATGCAAGATTTCTGTCTTGACTGTGTTAGCTTCATCTTCGGCAGTGATGTTCGCCATAGATGTTTTTTTCGGTGGTTCTCAACTTATGTCAGCTCAGAGTTATTAATGTATTGATTATCAAATCTTTCGAGGAAAAAGATTAACTTATATCAAAAGTGGAAACCTATCTCCTCTCTCTGAGTCGTTAAATGTTAAGATCGCACTTAAAAACTCTCGCCGAAAATCTTGATCTTATGATCTCCCTTAAACATCCGCAACGACGGGGAAGTACAAGTCAAAAGCGGATCATTTGTTGATTGACAGGAGTTAATATTGGTCAAATCACCAATTATTTCCGCTGTTTGCCGTTGGGTATCAATAACTTGCTGTCATCTAACACTTAACAGCTGCATAATGAATGTTTCTTGTTATCTTTTTAACTTTATGATAAAGAATGGAAAGGGCCTTGGAGCCACATTTCCTCTTATACTGCCAACATCATAAATCATGTATTAGAAATATTTTCCAATTTATGGGCTACTCTGAAATGGAGAGACACCTAAAACCACAATTCCTTTCCAATTGGAAACATCAGCTCCGCGCTCAGACATCTTGGCGCCTAAGAATTTACAATTCAAGACGCAGACTGAGAAATTGGAAGCATCACGCTGCCATACTAATAATTGACAATTATTCACAGAAGTGTAGGTGGATAGCGGTGAACATGTACCTAGTTGCGAAGTGGCGAGGTCACCTTGATCACTTTCAACGACTGAGATCAAATACGTACCACACAGAAACCAAAAGATTGGTTCAGTTATGACAACATACCAAAAAATTGGTCAGGAATTAAATTCTTGACGCACGGTGTTGTCTTTTCGTCTGCTTGAGGGTAAATAGTAATTGCTAATCGCTTACGAACCGGCCAATCAGCGCGCGAAAAAACCGTGTGTGTGTGATATTCACCTGTCTGGTATATACTAAAAGTCAAGCGTTTGGACCATTTGAATATTTTGTATTCCGTCAGTTATCTTTGTTTATAATTATTTCGTAAGTTTGGACTCTTGTATAAATTTATCTATGTACACCAAAAAACGGCGGCGTTTTGCGCCAAAATTCAAGTCTTAGAAATGTTCTTAATTAGCTTTTTCTTCGTGGTAATTACTTCTTTTACATGTCAATTTAAACTGGCAAACATACGACGACATTTTTCTGCAGTACTTCAAAGGGCATCCGGAACTCAAATAAACCATTTTTACAGAACTGACACTAAATAAAGTTATACTATGGAGACAAGTTTAAAGGCACAGCACAAAATTGGCGTTTTGGATTTAAGCGTGACGATGGAAAGTTCGGTAAAAACCCGTTATTCTTCCACGAACTTTCAGATTTTCAGGCAACGTTTTAGCAGTTGGGGTTTTAATTTGGGAAGGTGGGTGGGGTGGAGATATTGCCGAGGACTTTTTACATCAGGGGCTTGAGTGAAAAAACAAAACACCAAATGAATAACATTTCGCAAAAAGCTAATTACGAACAATGTTTCATTCAAAACACTGACTTCGACTGTAATCGTAACTAACTAAATTTGACTTAAACCAAGCTGAGAAAGATATTGTAACCGCGATAATCAATCCAGCATGCTTCAAAGGGTTCGGGTCAGAATAAACTGGAAGGAATTGCGTAAAAATTTCATAAAATTAAATCAACTTATGACTTTCAAAACACCTGGTAACGGTTAACATATTCTTTTCTACTGATTATTTACATCGAGAGTTCATCCTCTTTTGAATGAAAATAATTCAGAGATAGTCTCCGGGTCATATCACCTTGAAGTCATATCACCATGAAATTAGGAGTGATAACGTATCAGCCGAAATTTTTTTTCAACAGGATTTTTATTAAAAAATTCATTTTCTATGAACTCGAAATTTCCAATCATGCTAGCAGGATATTTCATTCGAGATCATCCGCCCCCACATTAGAATTTAAAAGTTTTCCCCTTGAGACTACAAAAAGCATAATTCAACATCTTAAACGTGATTACAGTTTTGTTTTTTAGCAGCATTACCTGAGGGTCCAACAAGTCTCAAATCATTTTATTTACGAAACGATAAGGGACTGGGGTCACGCTATTTGAGGATATTTGCAAAATACTGACAGCTGCATGGCTTACCGTGGAAGCAATAAGTTGGCTCATTCCTTTCCAATATCAAACAATTTATATCAGCTTTCTGCCCATTTATATAATTTATAAAATACCTCTAACTAGCTATATAGCCTTAAACAGATGGCTTTCTCCAGGCTAACATCAGCGAGCTTCAGTTTTTTAATTCTGTTTTGTTTGTGAGAACCTACTGTGGGGCCATTGGTTCAAAATAAACTGAAAAAAGAATTCCATCTGCAGAAGTACACCAAAAGTGGATGGCCTATCTCTATCCGGCATTTTTATCGAGCTAAAAACACAGAAATATCCGATCTTGCGTTTATTTTGAGGGACTTTTTCTTCTAATCTCAATGACGTGGATATTTATTCAAAAGCTGCAAATTGAAGTTCGAATGAGGTTAAAGTCGAATTTCGTACTATTCAAAATGTATAAGTGCTACAAAAACAACATCAAAAACAGTCAATATTATTTAGAAAAACAGAAGAACATATTTAAGAACTTTGGGGGCTAAAAATTGAAAATGAAAGAAGAACATACAGCCACAACTGAAAAATTGAACGTTCTAACGAAAAGAAAAAAAATGTTTATCACTGTTATGTAGTTCTATCCCTATATTTAAAAGACGGAAAGCGGAAGAAGTAAGAACCAAGAAATAGGCCGGATGTATGACTTCAAATTCACCTGCAAGAATTATAGCCGTGTCTGCAAATTTAACGCTATGTTGCTTGGCCAAGCCAAAAGTTTCCTTCATGAGTAAAGACGTCTTTTGTGCGCTTTTTCTATGAACCTTGTGCGCCACATGTCTGTATTCTGATTGTGAGAGTTACTTACGACTAATAATGGCAAAAGATCTTCCTCTGCGACGTACCAAGACATTGATACGACTTCCGAACCAAAATTAGACAGCGCTCTGTTATTTACTTTATCGTGAATTTTTGTGTTGCTTACATTATCTAGATTTTCAAACTATATGGCGCATTAGGCGTTGTGATGAAAAATGAGCCTTTTTCTGCGGCGATTTTGTGTTATAATCACCATTCCCCCCCCCCGACCAAGTGGGTATTGAATGCATTAAACATCTCGCAGTCGACTTCCATTAAGGTAGGATTTCGTTTAATTAGAGGAAAGCCAAAAGGAGGGTGGGACTAGCAAAGTTGGCAAGGATTAAACTTGACAAAAATTGCTGCAACTTTTTTCCTGTTTTTCTCGGCTTAGACGAAGGCCGCCAAATTCAGACCTTGAAATTAATTTTTGTCGTTACGTGACCTTGACTGTATCAATAAAGTGCGGGTACAATGCCATTTAGAAGAACAAACCCTTTCAATTAACAATAATTGAGACATTGGTTTTGAAAAGACGTGACTGTGGCCCCTTCACATTTCGCAATTCTACGGAAAATTACATTAAGACGCAAACTTCTCCAAACCTTTTCAATCAATGAGGATACACCTGTTCAACATGAAGAAAAATAAGCAAACAAAACAAAACCAGCGGCAAACGAATGTTCTTCATCCTTTCACGCCTACTCATATGGCAAATTTAACTAGTTTTTTTTAACTTTCCCTTGATCGAGCTTTCTGAGAGCTCTGGATGGTGCGATCTCAACGAAGTTTTCAGTTTAATAGGTAACTGTCGCTGGCTTTCGCATTGAAGTAAAAATAACGAGAGGCAAACGATTCTAAAGTCATACATTTGAAATTGATTAATGGCCTCTTAAAGAAAACTGCAATTTTTCGTGACTAGCTGTAACCGACTTTACAGTCCATTCACAGTCATTACACATCATTTACCGTCATCAGGTATCATTCACTGTCGTCGTAAATAATTCACCGCCTAATCTTGTAGCCAGATCCTAACGTGCAGCTGCAACCGAAATATGTAACCGCTTGGCCGTGGAAAGTCTGGGCACGAGACTATTCACCGCCATTACATCGTCGTGCGTGAGATCGAAACCAAAAGATTGGGAGGGGGAGGGCGTGGGTGGGCAAAGAGCGAGAGTTGGAAGGAATAGTCGTCACGCACACCGTAAAGGCATGTAAGAAAGGCGAGGAACGACATGATTTACACTCGCAAATCCAAGCTTTGGGAGCATGAAAGCATGGAGGAATTGAAGCTGAGAAATCGCCATAATAAGGAAGAGTAAGGTACTTACGGAATGCTTGTCAGTCGGTTCTATCTACTCACTTGACTTCCATCGCTAACGCTATGATCCCAGAAGCCATTGCAGTCGCTGCAGAGGTGGCTGCAAATGTTGATGCGCAGGTGCCGTTAAGATCTGAAGTAATCTGAAGGAAAACCACGTAGGAGAGAGAATAACGAGTTTAAGCATAACTTTTTACAGCTACGATAAACGGCAAAGATGGATAGTAATTTCAGTTACTTTTCTTAGAATTCTAGAATTGACCCCTGTAAGCAAGAGCAAAAAACCTTTCGTCATTGTCTGATGCAAATATTTTCGGTTATTGGCAGAAGAGGCCGAAGTCACGAGCCAAAAAAGCAATTGTTCCTTTTAACGTTTGCCGTAAACTCCATGTCCAACCACTGTGCCGGTTGTAGAAACTATGATTTTTTTACACTTTTCTGTCGGTTTTATCTCACATTAAGAACAAAAGTTGGCAGAATCAGACGAACATTTTTCCGTTCATTTTTGCTGCAAGAGTGGTTGCTCTAAATCTGTCCAGTGTGTGCGAATGTGTGGCGGGGAGAGAGAGAGGCAGACAGCATGATAAGAGAGCAGGCATGGCAGACCGCCTGTTCCTATAGTAACGTTTGATTCCTGGAATTTACTCAGAGAGTTAATCCCCTGGTTCTCCAGCTCTCTCAGTTCTTCTCTCCCTCTCTTAAAAACCAACACACCCGTTTTAATTTTACGTGTGATCTGAGAGCGAAGACCTGCTTAAAGTAAAGCTGCTTTTCAACAAAACCATACTCTCAACCAACTTCAATTTAGCCAAACGTTTCATCTCAACACTGTAAACAGTGTCAGGAAGACATATAGGAACATCCATTCATCGAGGTCCCCTGTGTGACTAATCTCGTGACCCAAGTTAGGCTGAGAATCAACTGGCCATAACCAACTAACTAACTAAAAGACAGACATGCTTACAATTGAGTCAACTCCTTCCGCATCATCCTGGCTGTAAGTGGTAGCCATCACAGCGGAGCACCTCTCTGCATATCCAGGGATACTTCCATTCCTACTGACTCCAGATATTGTTATTGTAAATATACTGTTGGCATATCCATTGTAAGCACAGCTATCATACTCTCGTCCTCCATTTCCAGCAGCAAAGACAAAGATTGATCCCTTGCCATGTCGACCCTAGCCATAAGGAGTGACAAGACACTAGTATATTTTATAAAAATTTTAAATGTACATAGCAATAAAAATATATTAATAGTAAACTGTTTAAAAAAAGCTTATTATGAACGATGAAACGCCCTCAAAATACGAAGCTATGATATAAATGATGAATGAAAAGTGCACTGTTAACCGTGATTTAAAAGATCAAGTGATAGTGACTCGCAGGGCTGCAGTGGAACGCAAATGTAATATTGCGACAAGCTATTAGCCACTAGAAAAATACTTTTTCGCGGAATTAACTAAAGGTCAGTGGAGCATCCTTCGACTTCGTTTCTTGGAGAGACTGAGGGAGATCCCTCAGATACTCACTATTTTGGTCCCTTCCTCCAGTTGGCCTCTTGCAAGTTCGCCAGGGCCCTCCATGTCCCACCCGGTATCTTCTGGACCCCAACTGCATGAATAGATATCTATGTAGTCCCGCTTGTATCCTAAAGCTAGTGCTTCCATGGAATCTGTTGGATCATCGTCGTCTTCTCCAAAAATACGAATACCTGCAAAGATGTGAAAATACATCGACTGAAATATTTGTTAAAGCAACTATGAATTCACCTCGAGTCGCTGCACGTAAAAATACATCAACTCAGTAGATACGTTACGTTGCAAAAACACAAGATTGAAGTGCTTTTTGATTGAGAGCCGTAAAAACCAAACTTGATTACAACGGCAAATCAGGAAAAGAAAAATACTCTTTAGAGCCCACGAGAACTCAGAGTAAAAACAACCAGACTATCTAAAGTGCGGGGAAACGCGGGCGACCAAGTCGCGATTGGTTTAGTTTTATTTTTCCATCCGATTGATTGGGAGAGTGGCGTAAGTTTTCTGGACCAATCACAGAGCGAAGTAAAGCAAAATCCATACAATCCCGGATTACTCTTGACACTCAATTGAACATTGCTCTGCGTGCTTTAACCCTCTAACTCCCAAGATCTGATTGTTAATTCTCTCCTCTTGCTGCTACACAATTCCTTGTAAATTAGTGGTGAGAATTTGGCTAAGATCAAGATAAAAACTTCTTCTCGATAAGTTTTAGTATTCTCATTAACCGTTCGCTAGAAAACGTATATATATCATAGGGAGAAGGTACATGTTAGTCACATCTGGGATTTAAAGGGTTAACAATTAAATAATTAATTACATAGCTACCTCCAAGGCTGACGTCAAAGGCAACTCCTACACCACATTCAGTATTGTTAGCAGAAGCTGCAATCACTCCAGCACAGCGGTTACCATGCCTATGAGAGAATATTTCTGATCAGCACTTCACTTAAATAAACACCTTTCCCAAACCTCTGACAAAATGACAAACTTAAGTTCATCAAAACCAACCATACCCTGAAAATTTTCCCTCTGGATCAGGTGTTTTATCAAAATCAACCAGATCTAAACTTGCTAAAGGATCCTGAAAAAAGATTGTGAATAATGAAATTATTAATTATTATATTAAATGTGTAAACATCATGCAAATGTTTAACAACAAAGACCATTATGATAATAAAGGCAAAATAACACTGTAAAACTTGACTTCAAGTAAAACATCAACCAAAAGCTGAAAATTACATAAACCCTGTCTGGAAGTTTTTTTTGTTTTTTTTTTTTTTTTTTCTTAAGAACAAACAATTAAATAATATTCCTACCATAATCTGAAGAAAAGTACTTCAGTAACAATACATATTTTGTAACCTGAAACAAGCTAATCCCATATATAGTACAGCACTTTTTGTCATAACAGTTATCTTAGAAAAAGCTATCCAATGCACATCAAACAAAAGACATTCTTCCATCAAGAAAACCAAGACTTACAAAATTATCTTTAAGGTCAGGATGAGACTGTTGTAGGCCATCATCAACAACTGCAACAACAATCCCTTTTCCAGTTACGCCCTGTTGCCACACTTTGTCAAGATTCATTCCTCTCCCATCAGGAGGATTCTGTTAAAATTGTGAGTTGTTTAAAACAATAATAATTGTCATGATACTAATATTTTTTATAAGAAGCATTACTTATTAATTGTTATTAAAGTACTATATACATTAACGTTTTAGCAATCCAGTGATAAGTTCAAAACCAAATGCTTTTTTTTTTTGCGGCCAGTAAAAGACAAAAAGCACCACAGGTATCTAAATTTTGAAAAATGAAAAATAGTAAAGTCAATAGAACATTTCTTAACAAATAGCTGTTATCCCTCAAAGTAACAAAATAGATATGAATAAATTTGTAATGGTATGTGAAGTTCTTATCGCTTTATACTCACCAGATACCACATCTGGTCCCTCCACCTTGGATCATTAAAGGACAAAGACATTGCTTGATCATAAAGAGCCTTTTTCTGCCTTATTTGTTGGGCAAACCACTTCACCTACACCCCGCCATGAGATGCAATCAAGTAAGAATGGACATTTGGACACAGTGATTAATTACAAAATTAATATTTCTTAATTTTTTAACCACCGATGTAATTTTTCATTATGGTTAAAGAGACATGAAACTTGGAATCAAAAATAATGTTTCAAACTAGAATGGTGATTACAACTTATAGCATACTTCTTAAGGAGTCATTGTATAATGGATATCAAACTCTCGGACACATTGATACATAAGTTTATTGACCTTCACAACTTCTTTAACTCTTTTCCTTTTCTTTTACTGTTACAATTGTGGTGTTATTAATCAATGTGTCAGAACACTGACTACCTTCAGCTTCAAACACAATACACAGTTATCATTATTAACAATAAAATTAACTCTTTAATTCCCATGAGTGACCAAGACAGAACTTCTCTTTACAATACCAATACAATATCAACCAGATGAGTAATGAGAATAAAGAAAATGTCAATTTGGGGATAATTACTTGATCCAATACTAAATTCTCTGAACTAACATTATAAGAATTCTATGGCTGACAATGAGGAGAAGTAAAAATTTGATCTGGGAGTTCAAGTGTTAAGATTATCATTAGAATTGTATATCATTATTTTTATACTACTAATACCGTGAACATTATCGTTATCATTTAATAAAACTGACTTCATGTCTAATTCCACCAGGCCATTTCTTTCCTAACATGGTTTTTTTTATTTTGTCTTCATGAACAGAGTGCTACACATATTGTTTTCTGATTATGTTCAATTTGCCCTTTGAACTTGAAGCACAAATAACATTTTTCTCTGTAGCATCTAATTTTAAGACATGCAGCCGAAAATTCTGGAAAAAGTAAAAATTAATATGCCTACCATTGGTTCTTGGCTCAGAACATCTGTGTGAATGTGATTTGGATGTGAGGAAACCTTTGGAAGATCCTTGTGCTCAAAAAGATGGTAATTGGAATAAAGCTGGAAATCAGGCAAAAAAAGGAGGACAGTATATCAGAGAACCAAGTCAATGGTATTAATTGTAATAATTACAATCACTGTTTCAATTTTTTTTTAAATTTACTATTTGACTTTTTAGTAATTTTTCTAGTCGTGTTGTTCAAAGCCTGGCTAAGATAACCTGGGGTTAGTGTGAAATCTGCTATTGGATCTAAGAGCTGTAAAAGAAAGTTTAGTATGAATCTTTTCATCTACAATTTGATTATTGGATTCTCTGAAAAGAATAAAGAAATCATTCCAAAAAGACTTTTGAACAAAGGAATACATAAATGCAGATTAAAATTTAACCTTGGGTTAGTGCTTTGAACAACTGAGCCCTGATGTGTAAATCATATCACCCTGCAGTTTTAGGACTGTAAAAAAATACCTTCATTTTATAATTAAATCCATTCCTTTGAGCAATATTCTTTACAGTGGTAATATCTCCATCAATCTTTACTGCCCAAGTGTTGGTATACCTCAATCCTCTCTTTGATACACAGGTATATGGCAAGGCCAGAAGAATAAACAGCTTTAAGAATGCCATCTGATAGGAAAAAAAATGTCAAGGAAAAGTCTGGTATAGTCGACCACCATGTAAATTGGGATACAGTCAACCTTGACTTGTGCTTTTGTTCTTCACTATCGCGTGGAATCAATTTGAAAACCACTAAAGGAACAGCAAGTACACTGAGGTAATTAATTTTGTAACAACAGTAATACAGCAAGGTCATGAGCCAATGACCGTTGAACCAATGAAAAGTTAGATTTATAGAATACCTTAAATCAGCGAAGTTAAAGAGATGAGATACGGAAACGCAGCAGCTCTATACGAGTAGCCTTTTCGAGTAACCACCATACATAAAAGCAAAAGAAAATTTTATATGCGTACTGTTATAAAATATGAACAATGGCTCGTGTTGTCATGAAATGAGTGGGTGAAGTTCTCAGACAATAACCTTACGATACAGCTGTTTAAACATCATGCGAAAGCACACAGCTGTGACCTTCTAGGATTTTCAAAAACTTTAAAATTTTCAGACCTACCCTTAAAAGAAAAGAAATAGTCCTTCAAGAGAGATGAAACTTAAGAGTGTGATGATGGAAAAAACCTCGTTGTTTGTGCACGTCATTTTCGTGATCGATAATTTGGCTTCTTTCTTACTAAAAAGTGTGCTCGAAGTTAAAAACCATTGACACATCTACAGAGCCTTGCATGCTCTCAGTGAAATTAACCTTGAATCTAAGATTACTATATCTACAGGGAAAAGATTACCTTACTCATCATAATAACATAAAATTTGTCTTGGAATTATCATTGAATGTCCTCAACCTCGAACTCAGCTCATTCTGCATGAGCTCAGCTTATTACTTCCTTTCGTTTCCGTCTTTTGGGAAAAAAAGCAAAGCATTTCATCGTCAGTTCATCGCTTCCATAGTAACGTATGGAGGCACGGAGAGAAAACGATGATCGTCATCATCCTTTCTCATTGAACATGCATCACTGACCGCCATATTTAATCGCGGCTTAGCGGCCAAACGAGGAGGTGCGGAAAGAAAAATTGGAAGTGGAAGTGGAAGTGGAAGTGGAACTGAAACCTGGATCGGGACCTCTGAAAACTGTTCGAAACTGTATTTTGTATCTTTTTTAGACTCCCAAAAAAATTTGCAGAAAGGGTATTCTCTTAAGGTTACCTTTTCAAATATGTATTTCTTTTGAATTCTGAATTAGCGCAATGTTTAGTTCTCGAGATCTTTTAAAACTTCCTCGTTTCCGTAACGCCCGATCTTGTCTGACCGGTACAGACGTATTGACGATGCGAAAAGGATCTCCATTAAATAGACGATAGGTCATAGCACTCCTATACTTAATTCCCTAATTTCTTTCGTGTAAAAATGCGATCAACTTTCCACTAACAAAATCTTTATTCCACTATCCAAATTTGTAATTTTCAAATTTACCCGAATTTTCTTCGTTAAATGAATATGGGAGGGGGAGGGGGTGTATAAAAATGTCTAATTTCAATCAAAAGAGCATATTTGATCAGATTAATTGATTTTCGAACTCAGATTTTTCAAAAAAGATTTTTGAACTAAGAATAAGATTAACATACTGCATGTCAATATTCTCTCTATAACCCTTTTGTTTTGCCTTTTTCTTTTTTGGCTCGTTTGGTTCTTTGGTGAATTTTTTCTTAATGGAGGAGGAGCAGGAAGCGCCAAGTGTCCGCGTCTGTTAAAACCCCACAGCTCCCAGTTCGATCGTGTCCTAGGAGATCCATAGAGGAAAGAAAAGTCTGTGAATTGACTCGGTATTCACAGCTCTAAAATGGGTAAGTTTTTTCCGTCAGTTGGCTCACGAACTAATGTATCATTCATGTTCGAACTTGTTACCATGCAACAATCTTATCTTCTGTTGTTGGGTTATTGAATGTTACAGGTCCAGCAAAAATTTACAATGCTCAAAAAATTTTAAAGATTCTGAACATCCTCGCAAATAATATATCTCTCTCGGTTTATTCCAAGAACCCTAAGCCAATAATCTCGTTCCGTTCCCGAAATTAACTAAAGAATCGTCACGCTGCCTTCCTCTTCCCTTGAGGAAGCGTGACCTTGTAATGAGATTACAGTAAACAAGATGGCGGCACGCTCGGTGGTAATAAGCGCAGTCATTGCGGTGATCGCAGTACTCTATGGAGGTAGAACATACATTCAAGGACCTCGCTGCCAGAGCAATAGACACATCAAAGGCAAAACTGTGGTTATAACAGGCGGAAATACCGGTATCGGCAAAGAAACGGCGGTGGACCTGGCAACACGTGGTGCGAAAGTAATCATCGGTTGCCGCAACTTAGAGAAAGGCCAGGCGGCAGTGCAAGAGATCCAAACGCGAAGTGGAAACGAAAAAGTCTTCGTCGAGAAACTGGACCTTTCATCTTTAGCTTCTGTGAGACAGTTTGTCGATGGAATTCTGAAAAACGAGCCGCACTTAGACATTCTGATAAACAACGCTGGAGTGATGGGATGCCCTTACCAAATGACTGAAGATGGCTTGGAAATGCAGTTTGAAGTGAACCACATAGGGCATTTTCTCTTAACTTTGCTTCTCCTTGATTTAATGAAACAATCGGGTCCGAGCCGAATCATAAATGTGTCTTCTTTGGCTCATAGGTTCGGTACTGGTGTTATAAACTTTGATGATATCAATGCAGAGAAGGATTACGATCCCTTTGCAGCATATCAACAAAGTAAGCTCGCTAACATACTCTTCACAAGGGAGCTCAGTGTGCATCTCGAGGACACAAACGTGACTGTGAATGCACTCCACCCAGGGTTGGTAAACACAGACATCCAACGTCACTCTTTTATTTCCGGTTTAGTATTTTTTCCACTACGCTGGTATTTTTTCAAGACTGCAGAACAGGGAGCCCAGACTACTATTCACTGTGCAGTGTCAGAGGAAATGGAAGGAGTTAGTGGTAAATACTTGGCAGACTGTGCCTTTAGAGACCCCTCTATAGGTGCACAGGATGATGAAGCTGCAAGAAAATTATGGGATATTAGCATGGAGCTTGTTGGTTTAGAGGACCACGAGATCTAATAGTCCTCTAAGTTTGTATGTTTTGTTTACCCATTTCAGGTCATGTGATAATAATCTAAAGTACTGTTTCTTTCAAATTTCCTCTTATTTACTTGCAGATGTATGTATAATTTACAAAAGATAAAGCTGGGAATTCCCTTCAGACCTGAAATGGGTAAACAAACCATGGAAGCTAAAGAGTCTATTCAGTGAAATGGCTAGTGTGCTATTGTGTGTCAATCTATATGTATTTTTTTTATGGATATGTGAGACTAGGTACAATTAACCCCACAGGAGCAGTGCTCTTTGACAGCGTCACTAAACAATACTAAGTCAGGATATTTCTGAAATCTGACTGGTTGGCCAAACGAACATGATAGAAAGTAAAGAAATAGGAAACAAGTTTCTGCCCAAGCTTATAGAAAAAAAAAGAGCTTTCAACTCAATGCACATTATATAATAACCTGCATCACACACACATTTTGAATGATTCTTACAATATTTTGGAGGACAGCAGACACACTGGTGATGTCAGCATTAATAAATTATTGCTTCTTCTTATATAAAACAAGTAGATTCCATGCTACCGTGGGTCTGTTAAGTAAAATACAGCACAGATGATGTCAAATGGGGTCATTTTGACATCAGTGACACACTTGGCTGGGCCTCATGTTCCTCTTTTTTTTTTCTTACCACATTTTGACATTATCTGTGGTCTATTACTGAACAGGCTCACAGTAACTTGGAATCTATTTATTAAATGCATGGACCTGACCTAAAGGATATTACCATTGATATGAGATTTATCCATAGTGGATCATGTTCCACAACATCATTGTGAAACTTTAAAATCTTAATACCAGAACTATTTATGGAATGGTATTGTGTTTCAAGGAAAAAGAAACACATAGGTGCAAGAAAACTGAACTGCAAACATCAGCACTAATTAGTTTGTGGTTTTGAAGTTTGTTTGTGTGGTTTGAATTGAACTCTTGTAATTGCCTAGTTCACAACTGACTTGTAGTAAAAAAAAATTTACATTGTGATAATCTCACTTGAGATAAAGACTAAAAGCAGAGAGGCTAAATGAATCAGTCAGTTATAAGTTCAGGGTTTGAGCCAAGTCAGTTGTGGTGTTTTTCCACTCCTTAGTTAGTCCTTTCACTTGCTTGTTGCAAAATGTTAATTTTTCCACAATCTGTGGTATATCTCTCATAATTTAAGCTCTGAGAGTATGCTGGTAAATCAAACTATATCCCCAGAGAAGATTTATATTTCCATTTATATTGACATTTTTAGGAGAAATCGCTTTTTGGTCTTCTGGTTCATGAGAGATGGGGGCCTTACCCAAGCCTGATTCTCAGACTATCTGAAGTTTCTTTCTCAAATCCTCCCAATGAGTGGAGCAAAGCACTTTTCATAATCTGAGAATCAGGATAAAGGGTAGCCAATAAAAAAGATCATGATATTTTTTATCTAGGTCTTAATCACTGGGTTAAGATTTTAACTATCTAGGACTTGCACATATGAGAATGGTATCCAAAACCATGTGAACACACTTCATAAACAAATACTGATAAATTAATTGATCAATTTTTTCAATATTATTATGATGAGTATATTTATTTCCATGATTTATTTATTGATATGATATGTCGTTGACACTGTTATGATAAACTCTGCAATTCTATAATTGTATCAAATGTATTTTGGGCAAGAAATGGCAATGTGTGGGCTTACTGTTGATCAGTTTTGCATCAGTGTATGTCTTTTTATACCTTTGTGTCCCTCTATCTTTAATAAATCTACTTTACCCAGAAGGAAACTGATCTTTTCTTAGAAACATTACTTAACTACTCTAAGCTACTATCTCTGTAATCTGGCATCTTTCATATTTGAAAGCTTTATAGCCAGTGGCAGTGCTACATCCTAACTCCTACCCAAACCATCCCCATCTAATGTCTATCAGGATGAGCATTTTAAATTCCAACTTTTCTCCTCCATTTAAATGAACTAATGAGGTTTAACCTTTGACATGCTAATATTAGTAGGCATATTTCCATACTGTTCTCTCAGTGCCTAAGGAGTTGACAGGGTACAAAGGGATACCTAACTCATACCTAAGACTCTCTTAACTTTTCATGGAGTCTAAGTCTGGCAGATCGTTTAATCTTCTCTCGGATTCCTGGTCTCAGTTATATCACGTGCAAGGCTCTCGGATATCACCCCTGAATCAAACGTTAAGGTCACGAGAATAAGGGAAATGATCACCAACTTAAGAAGAACTTGAGAGTATGCATATTAATAGTGGAGCTCGCGTAGCCCCATGATTATACAAAATAGTAGTAACCCATCAAGCCGAAAAAATTTGGACGTACGACCGCACGACCGTACGACCAACCGTACATGGCGCCACTTTTAGCATGCGCGGCCAACTGTACCACGGACACTATCTTATAATCAGTCCTCTACACGGACACGGAGAAGTTGCGAATGAAAATCCATTAATATTACCACGCACTTTATCCATAGAAGGGGCTTTAGTTTTGTTGAAGAAACGTGCGGGAAAAAAAAAATGCGAGCTCCGCTTTTAGGCTTGCCTAAATTTATATATTATCAGGATGTAAAGGGTTAAATGGAAACGATCAAGATGCTGTCTCCGCTGACTGGGGTAAGACGAGTCCTGTGAGCAGTCTCTTGGTTACAAAGTTAGTTAACTACAACCTTTTTCCTTTATAACAAATATTTGTGAGAAATAGTGTTACTGGGAGACCTCTAAGAATATACGTTTTGAGCAGCCAAGAGCCTGACTTAAGGAAAATGAAGGTCGCCAGTGGTTAGATAGCGCTTAACTGTTCTTTATTCATGTTATGGTCCACTTATGGACCGTCAAAAATTGCAAAACCGACTGTATTTCAAGTCGTCTTGCGGGGTATTGGGAAAAGTTTTCAATCAGCAATAACCGCGCCTCGGATAAGCCTCATTAGCTACGGTAATGCCACTGCGCAAAGCTAATAGGCAAAGGTGAGGAAAGAGGGTTTGGCAGACATTCAGTTGTCTTCCATGTGGTCATAAGTGAATACAATTTACACTGAGTTGCATTGTAGTGCGCATGCCAAGCTTGCATTAATGTCTCTCTCCGGGACTGCTTTTGTTTTGCTTTACTTCGCTCTGTGCTTGGTCCAGAAAACTCGCGTCACTCTCTCAACCAATGAGATGCGTATTCCCGCGCTTTAGGTAGTTTACTTCTCTATACTTAGAGTTTTCATTGGCTCTTCAGGTATTTCATTTCTTCTGATTGGTTGTTGTAATTACCTTGGTCAAGTTGATTTTACGACACCCATTCCAAAAGAGATTTATACTCAAATCGCGATTCTCTTCAGTAATTGGTTAATGACGGCTCTGACTGAGCTACATTTAATTTCGATCCTTGCTGTTTTCATTAACATCTTAGCCAAAAAGATTTATTGTGATATTACCGTGCAAAACGATTTACAACACGATACCTTGAAAAGCTTACGTACTGAACAGCAGATAGTCCGACTTGAGAAATTGAAAAAAACGTCGGCAATTGGACAGCGCTATCGCGTCAAACTTTCGTTTAAATTTTTCTTAATTTTTGTTGGGGTCCTCGTATGGACCGTCAAAAATTGCAAAGCCGACTGTATTTCAAGTCGTCTTGCGGGGTATTGGGAAAAGTTTTCAATCAGCAATAACCGCGCCTCGGATAATCCTCATTGGCTACGGTAATGCCACTGCGCAAAGCTGACTGATGATTGTGAATAAAGAGGGTTTGTTATCCATTTAATGGTCTTCCATGTGGTCATGAGTGAATAAAATTTATGTCGCTTTGTAGTGCGCATGTTAAGCTTGCATTTAATGTCTCTATTATCTCCCTACCGGTTTTTAGTAATTAGTAAATATATCATCAATTTCATGTTCAAAGTCCACGCACCGGCGGGATTATTAATCAGCAGTTCGAAACTTATCTCATGATCAACTCGAGTAGATTTTCTCGAGCGCGGGCTGAACTACGGCTGGTAATTAGCACACTTTTTTTCGAGAGGGTACAGTTTTATTTTCATCTAAAAGTTCCTTTTATGAAGTTACTATTTGGGGTGGTTCATCAATAATGGCTTGAAAAACCGAGGGAAAATTGCTGACTGAGTTAGTGCTTTAAAATCGATCAAATACTCCGCTCGCGCGCGAGAGGTTCAAACGCACTTTAAAATGTCTCAAGTAAAACTGGGGAATAACCAATAACATTCTTCTTTAGGCATTGTCTGTACGTTTCAAAAACCTCAAAGCTTTCCTTGAGCTACGTTGTCGAGAAATTCGTCGTCTCTCGGAACAGATAAATACTGTGCACAAATCTACGGGCATATTTTCTCGCCAAATGAACATTCTTAAACGACTGCTCAATTCATACAGAAACAAATATTCCATGGGAAATCAGTTAGATGACTTATTAGATGCAAGTTACTCTTTTGGTTAGCATCCCGAAAAATTTCATATGAAGCTTGCGCCTTTACAGAGACACTGCGCAAAGCTAATAAGCAAAGGTGAGGAAAGAGGGTTTGTCAGACATTCAGTTGTCTTCCATGTGGTCATAAGCAAATACAATTTACACTGAGTTGCATTGTAGTGCGCATGCCAAGCTTGCATTAATGTCTCTCTCCGGGACTGCTTTAGTTTTGCTTTACTTCGCCCTGTGATTGGTTCTATGTAGATGAACCTGGCAAAAATAAAAATATAAAACTGAAGATATTCAGCCTTAAAATGGTTGGCCAATTTTTGGCACCCTTTTCTTGTCCTAAAAACCTTTCTTACAAATACAACGCTACCGTACAAAACGATTTACAACACAATACCTTGAAAAGCTTACGTACTGAACAGCAGATAGTCCGACTTGAGAAGAGCAAAAAACGCCGGCGATTGGACAGCGCTATCCGTTAAACTGTCATTTTAAGTTTTCTTAATTTTTGTTGGGGTCCTCGTATGGACCGTCAAAAATTGCAAAG